AGGCCGGTTTTGATCCCCAACACTATGAACCCAGACACCTGTAACCCTAGCACTCGAGAGGTAGAGATATGAGGATCAGGAGTTCAAGGTCATCCTTGGTTACACAGTGAGTTCAAAGCTGGTCTATGTGAGACCCCGCCTAAAGAAAACTAAGTAAGTTTGGGCCTGTATGCTTAGCATCTGAGAGGTAGAGGCAGAAGGATCAGGGTTCAATGTCATCCTCAGCTGTACAGCAGGTTTGAGACAGCCTGAGCTACATAAGAGCCTCTCTTTAAAAAAAAAAAAAAAGTTTGGGCCAGTCATAGTGATGCACACCAGTACTCAGGAGGCAGAGGCAGGTAGATCTCTGTGAGTTCGAGGCCAGCCTGGTCTACAGAGCAGCCCAGGACAGCCAGGGCTACACAGAGAAACCCTGTCTCAAAAAAACAAAGCAAGCAAACAAACAAAAAAAAAAAAATCAGATTTTGGGGGATTTCCAGTTTGGATTTCCATGTTAGGGATGTCCAACCTGAATTATTTTTTTAAAGATTTATTTATTTATTATGTCCTGCATGTTTGCCTACCCGTCAGAAGAAGGCATCAGATTTCATTATAGATGGTTGTGAGCCACCCTGTGGTTGCTGGGAATTGAACTCAGGACCTCTGGAAGAGCAGCCAATGCTCTTAACTCTGAGCCATCTCTCCAGCCCCCAACCTGAATTATTATTATTACCCCTGCCTACAACCACTACTAACATTCATAAATTAATTATCTTTATTATTTTACGATTTAGAGGTCAAGTTTCCCTGCTTATAGAATAACACTTAAACTCCTTAACCACTCAAGGCTCCATAATTCTTGACCTGATTTCCTTTTACCCCACAGCCAATTTGCCTCCAAAGCCAGTCCCCTTCCGGACACATCTAGTGAGATGCTTGGAGCCAGGGCAAGCCCCAGAGGCAGTTCTAACAGGAGACAAAGCCTCCGCACACCCCTGCAGAGACAAGATGGTAGCTTTAGAGGAACTCCTCCCCAATGGTAATGGCACTGGGTGAGCCCCTGAGCCCCAGCACCTGGCAGCATGAATTTGCATATTCTGTCACCGGGCCTCTGCTCTGTGTACAAACTGTCTTCCGCTTGCCTGGCTGACCTCCCATCTAAACAAATTCTGTCAAATGGCCACTAACTTCTCTCTGCTGGCCCAAAGCTAGACTTTTTTTTTTTTTTTTTTTTCAGCTGCATTTGGGAACAGAGCAGGGTTTAAGGGCAGAATACATTTGACAGACTCCCCTTGGTTGTAGCTTTGGATATAGAGACTTTGGGCCTCCCAGCTAACTTGGAAGAAGCCCCATATCCTCAGAGTCACAGCCCAGTTAACGCTTAGGTTCAGAAACCCTAAACAGCAAAACACATGCTGGCCAGGTGTGATGACACACGCCTGTAATCATAACATTCAGGATGGGGGCTGAGGCAGGATCAGGACTTGGAAGCAAGACCCCCGTCTCAAAAAGGAAAAGCAATACAAGAGTTGGCTGGCAGCCCTGGACACTGTGACCCCACGCCAGCAGCCTTGAGATGGCGCAGCAATTGTGGTGTATGCACCCAGTGGGTTTGGAAAGTCAGCTATGGAGAGGGTAGGTCAGTACCTCCAGCCACCACAGCCTTCCCTGGAAACCTGGCTCTTACCTACCTGGACAGGCTCTGGCAACTTCCTGGAGGAACAGTCTGGTGTGTGAGCCAAAAGGTAGTTGGAATACAAGCCTGAGCTCAGCTGTGTCCAGTTGTACTGTCACATCAGAGCCTGTAGAGAGGAGGCAAGAAATGAGACGACCAGGAGCTGAGTACAAGAGCTAAGTACTGAAATGTGCAGAGGCAGGTGGATCTCCATGAGTTCAAGGCCTGGTCTACAGAGCGAGTTTTATGACCGCTAGGACTACAAAGAGAAACCTTGTCTGGGAATTAAAAAAAAAAAAAAAAAAAAAGTGGCATCTGCAAAATGGCAAATCAGAAAAGCTGGCATCCCAATGCTCCTTCGGCCTTAGGCTGACGGCACAGTAAAGGAACCCTGTGTGCCTCCTCATACAAACAAGCATCCTCCCCACGTTGTGGAGAGAGAGAGTCAGCTCTGGATGTCACTCGGCCGCACCACCGCTGTACCAGATGGAACTGACAGGGACAGGCTCTCCGGACTTGTGTGCTCCCTGCCCTGTGAGATAAGGGCATGCAGAAGTGGACTGGCGTGCCTGTCCATCGGTCCGCAGTGGTGCCAGGCAGCAACAATGACACGTGAAGAGAAAAGATCGAGCGTAGGAGAGGGCCAAGCTGAAAGGCGTGAAGCTTACAGGAAGAGGGGACTCCGGGGCCACTGGAGATGAAGGCTCAGCAGGCAAAGGTGTTCGCTGCCAAGACTGACCAAGTTGTTCTTTGACCTTCACACGGACACCATGCCATTCAGGTCAACACACACACACACACACACACACACACACTGGATAGTGTGATTTTTTTTCCTTTGGTTTTTCAAGAGAGAGTTTATCTGTGTAACCCTGGCTGTCCTGGAACTTGATCTGTAGACCAGGCTGGCCTTGAACTCACAAAGATCCCCCTGCCTCTGTCTCCCAAGTGCTGGTATTAAAGGCCTGTGCCACCATCGCCCAGCTAGTGAGGCATTTTTATGGTGGCCATTTAAAAAAGCTTTTTCCAATTAAGATAATATCTGTGTCATTTTAGTGTTAGTGTCTATAATTTGGTTTGTTTGGTTTTTTTTTTTCCAGAAGATACAAGGCTTCTCTGTGTATCCCTGGCTGTTCTGGAACTCACTCTGTAGCCCAGACTGGCCTCAAACTCAGAGATCTGCTTACCTCTGCCTCCTGAGTGCTGGGATTAAAGGCATGTGCCACCATTGCCTGTGTGATAATTTTTTTAAGAAGAGAGAACTCACTGGGCAGTGGTAGTGCACACACCTTTAATCCCAGCACTTGGGAGGCAGAGGCAGGTGGATTTCTGAGTTCAAGGCCAGCCTGGTCTACAGAATGAATTCCAGGACAACCAGAGCTATTACACAGAGAAACCCTGTCTTGAAAAACAAAAATGAAGAAGAGGAGGAGGAGGAAGAGAGAACTCTGCTGTGACAACCCGTGATGTCTGAGGTGATTGAAAGCACCTGGAGGACTTAACTTCGTGACAAGGGGGTGAGGGATGGAAAATAGCTGGTAGTGGGGGCAGGGTCTGATTCTTTGGGGTCTTATTTACCATAGTGTGGATATCTTCTGTTTTATTCATTTATTTATTTGTGTATGTGTGCACGTGTGTGTACACATGTGTGCCTGCGTGCCACAGCTAGCGTACAACCTCCAGGAGCTGCTTCTCTCATTCTACCGTGTGGGCTCGGGGGCTCAAACTCGGTAGTTAGGCTCGGCAGCAGGCATCTTTCTCCACTAAGCCGTCCCACCAACCCAAGAGTTTTCTTTTTTGTTTGTTGTATTTTGAAACGTAGTCTCGGTCTATAGCTCTGGCTGGCCTAGAACTCACCCCATGGTCCAGGCAAGGCAACCCCCCACCTCAGCCTTCTACATGCTAGGAATGCTGGCACATAGCAGCACACCCACCCAGGGATGTTCTCATTCACGCCTTTCTCTCTGTCTTAAGATCCTGTCCCTCTGCCCCAACAGGAACCCAGATTGAAAAGACTACTTACCAAGGATGTAGAGTTCACCATCTGGGGATACTG